TTGGGGTCATTGTGCATTCATTGTCCGGAAGGAGAGACCACAAACTGGGGAGGAAATCTGAATGTCGTTCTTATTGAGCACTTTGGCGAATTCATAGACGGTGGAGGCTTCCTAGCTGTGTATGTTTAAGATGAACTAATGAATCCTGATGATCCGTGATGCACGCTCCGGGCAAAGACAGCAAAGTATCATCCGTGCCGTAATCAACCAGAAAGAAGAGGTTCCTGAACATTTGTGATATGTCGGAGGAGGAACTCCGGGCATATGTACGAAGGGATCGCAGCCTACCCCACATAGGGAGCCACCCAGACACTGATAATGTCAGTTTTAAAGGGAAAGGATAACAGGCTTCATTCAATCTCATTCTCAATAAATAAATTGATACTTTCCTTTTTTTTAAAATGTATTTGTATCCACTTGCTGACCGACGTACGTATCAAAACATCCAATCAGCGAGTGGGTATTATAAGACCATGGCTGCAGCTGGAGCCATGATCCTGGGACCGATTTTCATCCGGAAATCAGTTGTTTTGTAGCGATCGGGGGGGGGGGGCTTTACAGCCACCTGATCACTTGTATAATCCTGTGAACTTGTAGTTTGGCAACAGCTGGAGGGACGCTAGTTTGACACCCATGCTCTGGAGGCTCTGGGACTGCTGCAAAAGGTCAGGATGGCTTGAAGAAACATCTGCTCCCTGATCTCCTCTGGTTCCTGGGCTCCCCTGGTCCTCTGGAGCAGGAGGTGTCAAACTGATGGCCCTCCAGCTATTGCCAAACTACAAGTCCCATAAGGCATTGCAACATTGACAGTTACAAGCATGACTTCCAAAGGCAGAGGCATGATGGGACTTGTAGTTTGGCAACAGCTGGAGGGCCGTCAGTTTGACACCCATGCTCTGGATGGTCTGGGACTGCTGCAAACGGCCAGGATGGCTTGGAGGAACATCTGCTCCCTGATCTCCTCTGGTTCCTGGGCTCCCCAGCTCCTCTGGAGCAGGGGGTGCCAATCTGGTGGCCCTCCAGCTGTTGGGAAACTACAAGTCCCATCATGCCTCTGCTTTGGGAGTCATGCTTGTAACTGTCAATCTTGCAATGCCTTATGGGACTTGTAGTTTGGCAACAGTTGGAGGGCACAATCCGGGCACAGCGAGTAGCAGGGCACAATCACAGTCCAGGGTCACAGGGCACAATCCGGGCACAGGGAGTAGCAGGGCACAATCACAGTCCAGGGTCACAGGACACAATCCGGGCACAGGGAGTAGCAGGGCACAATCACAGTCCAGGGTCACAGGGTACAATCCGGGCACAGGGAGTAGCAGGGCACAATCACAGTCCAGGGTCACAGGGCAACAGTCCAGGCATGAAGGATGGGCAGCAATCTGGTACAGCAAGGACTTGGTCCAGAGTCAAAGGGCAACAATCCGGCACAGTGAGCAGCAGGCCACAATCCAGCACAGCAAAGTCCCGGAGCACAGAGCAGCAATTCCGGGACTCACCACCCAACAGTGACCTCAGCAGAGGACGTCCAGGCAGAGAGCAAGGAAAAGGAGGCCCAAAGGGCAGAGGTCCTTCACAAAACCATTATGGGGTCCTCGGAGGGCTGCAAGTCTTGGCCTCAGCTTCAGGGCCAGATAGGCCGCAGCTGACAGAAGAGCAGAGGATAGAGTAAAGCCCCAGGGTCCAGAACGCCACACAGAACTACAAGTCCCAGCAGTGCAGAAAGCAAAGTCAGCAGGTCCATGTATTTTCAAGACTCCTTCTAAGGAGACCTGCAGCCATGAGCTCCTCTGCCCATCACTGGAGTGAACCTTGAACAGTCTGACACCCTTCATTGTTATCTATGGTACGTTGAATTCAGGCACACACTGAGGGCAGCTTCAGAGGGCAGCTTCATGTCCTGCTCCCTGAGGTCAGCTTCAGAGGACAGCTTCATGTCCTGTCTCTGAGGGCAGCTTCAGAGGGCAGCTTCATGTCCTGCCCCTGAGGGCAGCTTCAGAGGGCAGCTTCATGTCCTGCTCCTGAGGGCAGCTTCAGAGGATAGCTTCATGTCCTGTCTCTGAGGGCAGCTTCAGAGGGCAGCTTCATGTCCTGCTCCCTGAGGGCAGCTTCAGAGGGCAGCTTCATGTCCTGCCCCCTGAGGGCAGCTTCATGTCCTGCCCCCTGAGGGCAGCTTCAGAGGGCAGCTTCATGTTCTGCCCCCTGAGGGCAGCTTCATGTTCTGCCCCCTGAGGGCAGCTTCAGAGGGCAGCTTCATGTCCTGACCCCTGAGGGCAGCTTCAGAGGGCAGCTTCATGTCCTGCCCCCTGAGGTCAGCTTCAGAGGGTAGCTTCATGTCCTGCCCCCTGAGGGCAGCTTCAGAGGGTAGCTTCATGTCCTGCCCCCTGAGGGCAGCTTCATGTCCTGCTCTCTGAGGTCAGCTTCAGAGGGTAGCTTCATGTCCTGCCCCCTGAGGTCAGCTTCAGAGAGCAGCTTTATGTCCTGCCCTTTAGGGCAGCTTTAGGGGGCAGCTTCATGTCCTGCCCCTGAGGTCAGCTTCAGAGGGCAGCTTCATGTCCTGCCCCCTGAGGTCAGCTTCAGAGGGCAGCTTCATGTCCTGCCCCTGAGGGCAGCTTTAGAGGGCAGCTTCATGTCCTGCCCCCTGAGGGCAGCTTCAGAGGGCAGCTTCATGTCCTGTCCTTGAGGGCAGCTTCAGAGGGCAGCTTCATGTCCTGCTCTCTGAGGTCAGCTTCAGAGGGCAGCTTCATGTCCTGCCCCTGAGGGCAGCTTTGCCCCCTGAGGCAGCTTCATGCTTCATGTCCCCCCTGAGGTCAGCTTCAGAGGGCAGCTTCATGTCCTGTCCTTGAGGGCAGCTTCAGAGGGCAGCTTCATGTCCTGTCCTTGAGGTCAGCTTCAGAGGGCAGCTTCATGTCCTGCCCCTGAGGTCAGCTTCAGAGGGCAGCTTCATGTCCTGCCCCTGAGGGCAGCTTTAGAGGGCAGCTTCATGTCTTGCCCCCTGTGGGGACACAGGAGCTCACATACCACACCATGCAGATACATTGACTTTGCATCTGGATTACAGATTGTTGATTTCTTAAAACGAATAATAAAAAAAAAATAAAATAAAAACTCCAGTGTTTCTGACCTCCATTAGTCACCATTTCACAGAATCGCACAATTGTACATTTTGACATGTTTGGTAACTATTTGCTTGCCACAGCATCATCTTTTATGTTTTCCCAAAAATTGGGTATGTTATCATGTCTATGTGCACTAAAATTAATCTTTTTCCTGAAAATTTGCATTTGATAAGATGGTATGTGTGACAGACAGCTTGGCCGCCTGGGTGCTTCCGTCAGAGAACTGCTTCCCCGCCGCTGGGACACAGGAACAAGGTATTATCGCACCCAAGAACTAGACGACACTTGCTTAGGTGCCACAAGGAACTCTTTTTATTGAACAGAAATACAGGTTTTTATACACTTCAGAAATAGGGGCAGCCCAGACATGAACAATAAAAACAAATATTATACATTGGGATAACATCCCACACTGATTAGGTAACAAGGTAAAGTTGACACCAGACTAATCCCATCATGTAGGAACCTTCAGGAGGACCAAAGGAAAGGTGACCCAATTAACAATGGGAGAAAGGCACAACAGAAAACACATCACACCTTAAAAATGGATTACAGAGACCTCAGCTTTAGGTTGTTTTGAGCTGATTATATTAACATCTACTATGAGTCTCTGAGTCTAGGATGGGTTTGAAGCAGTCAATGCTGGTTTGGGCACAGAGACCCCAAATCTGTAGCTGAAGTGAAACTACAAAATGTTCCCCCAGGCAAATACCTCCCAAAGAATAGAGCCCCTAAGATGTCAGGGCCCATGGTCAGTAGGCAAGATGCTAGCATGCAGTACCCTCCAAAAGCCCCTGTCCTGGTTGGGTCTGTCACATTTCTCCCCTCTCAAAAGTAGACTAACCAGGTCCCGGACCTCCACCTGGTCTGGACATGCATTAGTCCAGCAGAGTGAACCCACACAGTCGGTCCCACATGATCTTCGTTCAGGGAAGAGTTGTTATCGGTAAGTGTGGGGCAGAGGAATGGACCCTCTTCAGCTGGGAGGTGTTTACTGTTCTGGGGCTCAGTCTGCTGCTGGGGAGAGGGGTTGACTGCCCCAACTCCCAGGAGCTGTGAAGACATGGTAGGTGCTGGATAGAGGCCAGCGGTGCTCTGCCCTGTTGCCAGCGCTTCAGTCAGCCTCCACTCTGGCTAACTATTCCAGAGGGAGGACGTCCACCTCCTGTCCCGGACTGTGGAACTGCTTCTGGGGAGGGAGGGCAACCACCTCCTCTCCTGGACTGTGGAACTGCTTCTGGGGAGGGAGGACAACCACCTCCTCTCCTGGACTGTGGAACTGCTTCTGGGGGGGAGGGAGGGCAACCACCTTCTCTCCCACTGCTTCTGGGGAGGGAGCGCAACCACCTTCTCTCCCGAAATGTGGAACTGCTTCTGGGGAGGGAGGCAACCACCTCCTCTCCTGGACTGTGGAACTGCTGCTGGGAAGGGCAACCACCTCCTCTCCTGGACTGTGGAACTGCTGCTGGGAAGGGCAACCACCTTCTCTCCCGAAATGTGGAACTGCTTCTGGGGAGGGAGCGCAAACCTCCTCTCCCGGACTGTGGAACTGCTTCTGGGGAGGGAGGGCAACCACCTCTCCTCCCAAAATGTGGAACTGCCTGGGGAGGGAGGGCAACCACCTTCTCTCCTGAAATGTGGAACTGCTTCTGGGGAGGGAGGGCAACCACCTCCTGTGACTGTGGAACTGCTTCTGGGAGGGAGGGCAACCATCTTCTCTGGACTGTGGAACTGCTGCTGGGAAGATGAGCCATTTGCTCCATTTTCTGGACTCCAGACTCCCACTGCGGAACAAGGACAATTTCCTGTGATCCCGAGTCCCTACACTGCAGATGGGTAGGGAGGACAACCACCTCCTCTCCCAGGACTGTGGATTTGCCGCTGAGGAGGGGGTACACCTGGCAAGACTGAAGGGGAGGGGCCTATAACTTAAGCTGAAAGACTGACCTGTGGGGAGGAACCAGTACACCTGTGAAAGACTGAAGGGGAGGAGCCGGTACACCTGTGCAAGACTGAAGGGGAGGAGCCGGTACACCTGTGCAATACTGGAGGGGAGGAGCTGGTACACTTGTGCAGGACTGAAGGGGAGGAGTCGGTACACCTGATTGCAAGACTGAAGGGGAGGAGCCAGTACACCTGTGACTGAAAAGACTGAAGGGGAGGAGCCGGTACACCTGTGCAAGACTGAAGGGGAGGAGCCACTTGTGCAGGACACGGTACTGTGTGCAGGACTGAAGGGGAGGAGCCGGTACACCTGTGCAAGACTGGGGGGTACACCTGTGCAGGACTGAAGGGGAGTAGCCGGTACACCTGTGCAGGACTGAAGGGGAGGAGTCGGTACACCTGTGCAAGACTGAAGGGGAGGAGCCAGTACACCTGTGCAAGACTGGATGTTTCAACTGATCATATCTGTGTACGCAGCCCTTAGTGTCACTGAATGCAGTGACCAGTCCGCCTCGTTGAGAATCAGCAGGTTTTGCTAACAATGAGCAGATTTTTTCATAATTACAACACAGAACACTCGCCGAGCTCACAGGCGTTCAGTGCGCTGTAAAAATGATACGATTCAGCTGTTTTTCGCCATCTCTCTCCCAGAAAAGCAAAAAGATTTATACTCATGAAATTGTTCACATTAATCTGACGGTTATAAATGGATGCCGAGAATCGGTGCACATATGGGACATAAATAATACCGAATTTTAAACAGGACGATCCATAATCATTTGCCGGCTTCGGGCGCCTCGTACAGCAACAGGAGACACAGAGAGAAAAAGAAAGAAAGATTAAAGGTGAGTGAAAGGAGGAGGAGAACAAAAAAGGACAAAATTATATCAATTAGAAACAAATTTCTGATGGGGAGACATCCATTCTCTACATAAAAACAGGAACTAATAGAAACATTGTATCCTGACCCTTTCCTGGCACATCCCAATGGCAGCATACATTAGCAGACAGTGCTAGAAAAAAATATTTTCCCCTTCCTGATTTCATTTATTAAAGGAAAAAAGCTGTCCAGACCTGCCTGGCCCTATGTGAAAAAGTAGCTGCCCCCCCCCCCCCCCTCCAACTTCCTTGTTAAATCATGAATGAACTGTTCCATTTTTTTGGAAAGCTGAGTTAAGCTTCACTTGCCACACCATGATTACTGCCAGACCTGTTGAATCAACAGTCACTTGAATAGAAGCTTTCTGACAAAGTGAAGCATGCTAAAAGATCTCAAAAAGCAACACATCATGTACCGATCTAAAGAAATTTACGAACAGACAATAAACAAAGTAATTTGCATGTATCAGTCTGGAAAGGGTTACAAAGCTATTTCTAAGGTTTTGGGACACCAGTGAACCACAGTGAGAGCCATTATCCACAAATGGAGAAAACTTGGAACAGTGGTGAACCTTCCCAGGTGTGGGTGGCCTACCAAAATTACTCCAAGAGCCCAACGACAACTCATCCAGGAGGTCATAAAAGAAGCCAGAACAACATCTAAAGAACTGCAGGCCTCACTTGCCTCAGGTAAGGTCAGTGTTCATGATTCAACAATAAGAAAGAGACCGGGGAAAAAAATGGCCGCCATGGGAGAGTTCCAAGGCCACAGCCACTGCTGACCAAAAAGAACACAAAGGCTCATCTCACATTTCCCAAAAACCATCTTGACTACCACCAAGACTTTTGGGCAAATATTCTGTGGACTGATGGGACAAAAGTTGAACTTGGTGGAAGGTGTGCATCCCGTTACATCTGGCGTAAAACTAACACAGCGATTCATAAAAAGAACATCAGCCCAACAGTGAAACATGGTGGCAGTAGTGTGATGGTCAGGACCTGGAGGACTTGCCACCATCGATGGAACCATGAATTCTATGCTCTACCAGAAAATCCTGAAGGACAATGTCCAGCCAGCAGTTCCTGACCTGAAGCTCAAGCGCATTTGGGTTTTGCAGCAGGACAATGATCCAAAAACACCAACAAGTCCACCCTGAATAAAAAACAAAAACAAAATGAAGGTTTTGGAGTGGTCTAGTTAAAGTCCGGACTTAAATTCGATGTAGGTGCTGTGGCATGACCTTCATGCTGGAAAATCCTTGACTACCACCGGGGACAAGCCTGGTGCACCAGGCCAGAATCAATCCGGAAGAAAAAGGCTCTCCCATTCCCACCTTATTACATCCGGGATTACTTACTGGTGCCCCAATTGGTGAAGAGAGTCAGGGTCCTGTCCCAGACAACTGATAAGAACAGATACTTCACTTGATCTTAGCCAAAAGGCAGAGAAGACGACTCATGACATCACAGATTAATAATGGGGATGCCTGGCCCCTGAGGATGTCCTTGTCTGGCCCTCCCCCACCCCTCTCTGTGAGCATTTGGGCCACAGGTTTACTTGCTAGAATGACTTTGTAGACAGATGACAGGGCTCTTCCTGGAACAATTCTTCATCCGTATACAGAAGTATAGGGCAGGAAGGCAGTTATTATCAGAGGACGCCTCCGTTAAGCTCACAATCCATGCAAGTGCTGGGCTTCAACAGTGACTACACACAGGTCCTCTCATAAGGCTTTTCAGGGCCCCTGAGTGCTTCACAATGGGGCCCCTCTGCAGGTAATGGATCTTTCTTCTTACTCCCGGAAAAGTCCTCACCTCTTCTGACTGAATTGGTGAGGAAGTCTACAAGTTCTAACCAGGGGCGGACTGACAACTCATGGGGCCCTCGGGCAATAGGGAATCATGGGGCCCCTGTGTCCTCTCCCACACTCAAACCACACCCAAAATAGCCTATGAAGGGTACCAGGAGCATTTCATGGGGCCCCCTACTGACCCCGGGCCCTTGGGCAGTCCCCGAGTTCCCAAATAGTCAGTCCGCCCCTGGTTCTCACTGTCCCTGCATAAGATGGGGTGCTGCCACTACCTAACAATTCCTAATCCAGGGGCACACCTAGGACACAGAATGTGCTATATATAGTACTTCCACATCCCAAAATGGCTGCCAAAATCTCGTGAGAGGTCAAAACTGGTCTAGACAAAGGCTTTCCCAAAATGGCACCCGGAGCCCATGGCAGTGAACTCATTAAACCAATGCCAGGCTGCCCCTAGTTCCAGCATCAACATGGCAGTCATTTGATCACTCTATTGGTCATGTACACAAAATGGAAAGAGATTCGGTGTTCACCTGACTGCCATACCCCTCCCACACAGCTACAATGGGCAGAAGTCGCCTACAGCCATGCAGTCACCAGGAGATGGGTGTTGGAGATAGACTAGTGCCCCACCCCATGCCTTGACTCCACCTACATACACACCCACCAACCCAGTCACTGAGGATATCCTTTACAAGTGGCCTACCTAGAAAGCCCCAAACTACTTGTGTCCCTTCTGACAGAACTGGTTACCCATAATCCCACACATTCCCTCTGCTTCTCAGAGAAAAGAAAACTATATATCTTGGATCTTGTGTATCCTGTTATGCAGCACCCAAAATATGGAGCTCACGGCCATCCATCTCCCAGGAAGCACCCACCTTGGATCCACTGTCCAAGAATCACCCTATCTGGATCAATTGTCCCTAGGGAATCCTCTCTGGATCCATTGTCCAGAAAGCACCTTCTCTGGATCCATTGCCTGGGAATCACCCTCTCTGGATCGATGGTCCAGGAAACACCCTCTTGGATGCATGGCCCAGGAAGCACCCTCTTGGATGCATGGCCCAGGAAGCACCCTCTCTGGATCCATTGGCCAATGATGGAGCACTATTCCTCCCTTTATCATTAATGATGGAGCACTATTCCCCCAATTTATCATTAATGATGGAGCACTATTCCTGTAATTTATCATTAATGATGGAGCACTATTCCTGTAATTTATCATTAATGATGGAGCACTATTCCTCCCATTTATAAATTAATGATGGAGCACTATTCCTGTAATTCATCATTAATGATGGAGCACGATTCCCCAATTTATCACCAATGATGGAGCACTATTCCTCCCATTTATAAATTAATGATGGAGCACTATTCCTGTAATTCATCATTAATGATGGAGCACGATTCCCCAATTTATCATTAATGATGGAGCACTATTCCTCTCATTTATCAGCAACAATGGAGCACTATTCCCCCAATTTATCATTAATGATGGAGCACTATTCCTCCCATTTATAAATTAATGATGGAGCACTATTCCCCCAATTTATCATTAATGATGGAGCACTATTCCCCCAATTTATCATTAATGATAGAGCACTATTCCTCCAATTTATCACCAATGATGGAGCACTATTCCTCCCATTTATCATTAATGATGGAGCACTATTCCTGTAATTCATCATTAATGATGGAGCACGATTCCCCAATTTATCATTAATGATGGAGCACTATTCTCCCAAATTTTTATCTCCAATGATGGAGCACTATTCCTCCCATTTATCATTAATGATGAAGCACTATTCCCCCAATTTATCATTAATGATGGAGCACTATTCCCCAATTTATCATTAATGATGGAGCACTATTCCCCCAATTTATCATTAATGATGGAGCACTATTCCCCCAATTTATCATTAATGATGGAGCACTATTCCCCCAATTTATCATTAATGATGGAGCACTATTCCTCCAATTTATCATTAATGATGGAGCACTATTCCTGTAATTTATCATTAATGATGGAGCACTATTCCTCCCATTTATCAGCAACAATGGAGCACTATTCCCCCAATTTATCATTAATGATGGAGCACTATTCCCCAATTTATCTCCAATGATGGAGCACTATTCTCCCAATTTATCATTAATGATGGAGCACTATTCCTCCCATTTATCATTAATGATGGAGCACTATTCTCCAATTTATCTCCAATGATGGAGCACTATTCCTCCAATTTATCATTAATGATGGAGCACTATTCTCCCAATTTATCTCCAATGATGGAGCGCTATTCCTCCCATTTATCATTAATGATGGAGCACTATTCCCCCAATTTATCATTAATGATGGAGCACTATTCCCCCAATTTATCATTAATGATGGAGCACTATTACTCCAATTTATCATTAATGATGGAGCACTATTCCTCCAATTTATCTCCAATGATGGAGCACTATTCCCCCAATTTATCATTAATGATGGAGCACTATTCCTCCAATTTATCATTAATGATGGAGCACTATTCCTCCAATTTATCACCAATGATGGAGCACTATTACTCC